ATGGGTATTGAGGAGGGCACCTTTTGGGATGAGCACTGGGTGTTGTATGGAAACCAATTTGACAATAAATTTCATATATAAATAAATAAAATAAATAAATAAATAAATAAATAAATAAATAGAATTATGAATACACACTCGTTTGTGTGTGGCTTCTTTTTCTTAACATTATGCCTGTGAAACTCACTCATGTTGTGTGTAACAGTACTTTTTTGTTGTTAGATAGTATTCCATTGTATAAAATATACCACAATTTATTTATCCATTTTCCTATTGATGGACATTTGAGTTGTTTCCAGTTTTTCACTATTCTGGATAAAGCTGCAATGAACAGTCTTGCATTTGTTTTGGGTATATATATATATATATATATGAGTGGAATTGCTGGGTCATTGGGCATACATGTGTTTAGCTTTAGTATATAGTATCCAACAGTTTTTCAAATTGATTGTGCCAGCTTCGGCTATACCACCAACATATAAGAGTTCCAGTTGCTCCACATTCTCATCAACACTTGCTATCATCAGGCCCTTGTAATTTTAGACATCGTTATGAATATTAATTTCTCTTTGTAATTTTAATTTGCATTAAATTAAATACCAGGCAGGGCTGGTAATGCAGACCCTCTGTTTTTCCAAGGCTTTTCCCTGGTAGTATGCTGCTGCCAGGGAAATGACTTTCATAGGGAAGATATTTGGAAGATGGGGAGGGAAGATGGAGAGCCAGATAGAAATGAAATATGCATGCACATATGCACACACGTGTACACTCAACTAGAGAGGAAGCTGTACCAGTATTGGAACATCTCAGGAACAGTCTCTTCAATTTGGAATAACCTAACTCTGTTCATCCTATCTGGGATGAAAGGATGATATAGGAGCAATTAAAAGAGATGGAGTTTCTGGACATTTGGAAGGAAAATAATCACTGAGTGAAGAGAGGGAAAAGATCCCATAAATCAACATCTTTGGGCTTTCTATGAGGCCCACAGGATGATCCCAACTGGAGAGGCCACATCCCACAGAGCTAGGAAAAGTACTTCCTAGCAAGGAAGGGAGAGAGACCACTAGGTCTGGATGTATGAGACCAGTTCTTCTAAACAGGGCCCAGGGATGTCTCCTCACCCAGGCTCCTCCATCCCTAGGCAGGAGAAGAAATCTGTGGTTGGAAGAGCTAGAGGGATAAAGCATGTGTTCCCAAAAGCCAGTAGGTAGAACACCTTTTGTACACCATTCAAGTCCTTTTGGCCTTGCTTCCTACTCCAGCCATTGCTACGGTGACTACTTTTCCAGGAGTGATGAGGCAGTGCCTTGCCATGTTCCCTTTGCTCTCTGCCAGGGTTTCCCTGATGCCAAGGCTTGGGATGCTTCCAAGAGCTGCTCTGCTCTCACATACCAGCAACAAAGAACTGAAAGAGTTAGCGCCTAGTGGAGCAACCTATAAACCATGAGAATGGGAGGCAATGGACAGATGCTTCCTATTCCATCCCCAGGACAGATGGTTCTCTGAAACATTTCATAAGATTTTTTAAAAGGTCCCACAAGATCAAGCAACTAATCAGCCATAGTGGGGGCCAACTGAATAATGCATCTTTGTGTTGGGTCTCCCTTCTTCTCTGCATCACTTCCCTTTTCCCTCACCTGCTCCTTGGAGTTCTGTTCCCAAATAAGTTATTCAGAGAAACTAAGCTAAAATAGAACCAATAGAGCCAATAACTGGACTCTGACAGGACCTCCTTTGCTATAATCATTTACTTAGAAACCAGTGTTCAGATTAGCCAAAGCCTGGAGGAAGGCATGGACAGGGATAATGGGTCATTCTATTTAGGTAGAACATAGGAGTGGGGAAAGGGACTTATAGCAGATAAAGCCAGAAATGTGCCTTGGGCTCATGCTATGGAGGGCTTTGTAGCCATATGTGGGAGGTTAGTTTTTTTTCTGGAGACAATGGGAAGCCAGTGGTGGTTTCTGAATGAGGAACTGGCAAAACCAGAACTCTGCTGTGGGCAGTAAACTGGGGGCAGAGACCAGTTAGGGGAGATCCCGGGGCAAGAGGACCAGTTAGGACGCTGTGACCTGGGACTTTGGCAATTGGAGTATAGGAGGAGCAGAAATGAACCATGTTGTGAAGTAGAACTAGAAAGACTTGTCACCTTGCAGAGGAAGGCCACGGGCAGAGAGAAGTAAAAGGTCTTCTTTTACTAAGGCCTAAGGCCTGGAGTGCAGGAAGCTGAAGGGTAGGGAACCATTCACCGAACAGGGGGAGGAGCAGGTCTGAGAGGGAAGGCAATGGGCTCAACAGACCCCAAAACCCCCTGGCATCACTCTCCTGGAGTTTTGAAATCCTCACACAAGGAAACTCCCAGAAAGCCAGTCCCAACCTGCTAGAAGAAGGTCACCCTGCCTCTTTTTACCTTGGGAAGAAAAGTAGGTGAACATGAGGCTAGGGATCAGACCAGGCTATTTTGGGACTTAGAGGTGGTCACATGATACCTGGGAAGGAATACTGAGGAAGGAGGCACAGATCACTTAGCCAAAGGGGTGCTAGGTTCTCGCCTTCTGCTTTCAAGAAACATTTACTATATTCATTATAACCACCACAAACAATGAATACAATGAGCCAAATTTATGTTTTATAATCTGTATGGCTGATTTAATTGTTTTAATGTTCATTTATTTTGAGAGAGAGAGTGAGAGAGAGAGAGCAGGGGAGGGGCAGAGAGAGAGGGAGACATAAAATCCGAAGCAGGCTCCAGGCTTTGGGCTGTGAGCACAGAGCCCAATGCAGGGCTTGAACTCACAAACTGTGAGATCATGACCAGAGCTGAATTTGGATACTCAACTGACTGAGCCACCCAGCCATGTATGGCTGATTTAAATGTGTTTATGACTATTGCAGATTTCCGTCTTCCTCTGGTTGAACCAATATAGAAGCACGCAGGATAGAAACCAAGAGACAAGCACAGTGGGCCCAGTGGTAAGGCCCCAGCAGACCTGGGGATGCTGGGGGAGGGGGACAGGGTGGGCTCTGCATCACAGGGCCCTGGAGGAGCTTCATGGGAGATGTCAGGCTCTCTTCTTGATTTTCTTCATGGAGATGGAGAGGGGCCTCTCTGGGAGGCTGGTGTGCAGAAGCTGCTGGAACTAAGTGAGAAGGAAACGAAGGCCTACACCCTCTGCAGCTTATTTACATGTCCCCAAATAATAGCTATGTTTCGTTGTACATCTACCAAGGCCCTTTTGTAACAGCTCTACAGGGCAAGATCTGGGACACAGATGAGGAAAGGGAAGCTCAGAAAGGCAGAAGAAGTTACTTCAGGTCATCCAGTAATCATCCAGGTAATAAGTGGTAGAGACAGGATTTGAACCCAGGTCTTGCTGGCTCCTGAGTCCATGCTCTTTCCTTGTACCATGCTGCCTTTCTTTCTGCCCAATGGTCATAATATGCTAGAGTGGGGACTGAAGCCTCTGCTCCAGTGCTGGGCAGAGAGCTCTGGACAGGTCAGTGCTGAAGTCACGACCCAAACGAAAAGTAAAGAACAAAGGATGATTTAGGGCAGAGAGCAGCCAACCACAATCCGTGGGCCAAGTCTTACTTGTTGCAGGTTTGTGTGTGTGTGTGTGTGTGTGTGTGTGTGTGTGTGCAGATCACAAGTTAAGAATGTTTTTTATATTTTAAGTGGTTGAAAAAAGTCAAAAGAATATGTCATGACACATGAAAATTATATGAAATTCAGGTGTCAGTGTCCATGGTCAGATACCATGGCTCCTAGCCCTAAAACCGTGGAGCTGTGCCCCAGCTCAGGTCTCTTTTCCCCCTTGGTAGTGGTTCCCTGACTCTGGGGTCTACAGGCCAGGGAGGCAGGAGCAGGTTGTCAGCACCCCTTCCGGGAGAACCACCAGGGTACTCACCACATTCTGTATCCAGTCTAGGTTGCTTCTTGCAGGGCTCAGGGGGGTCTCCCTCCTCAGCACCATCTGCAGCACCATCTTGGTATTCTGAGAAGCTGCGAAACACAAGGCAAAAGCTCCTGGCCTCCTCCCTGACTCCCAGTCTCCCTCCTCCTATGTAGCATCCCTAGCGCCTCTCTGCAGACTCCTGTCTTCCCTCAAAAGTCTACATGGGTCAGGTCAAGAGGCATCTATGTTGCAAGAGATGCGGGGGCAGTTAGGTGACCCAACCACCTCACTCACCACCCTGATCCCCAACCACCAACAGCTTAGCCTCTCCCTGTGGGGATCTGGGAAAGGAGCTCAGAGGGGAGCAGCAGGTGGTCAGGAGCAGTGGGGAAACAAAGCTGGGAGGAATATGTGGGCACTTTTTGGTACGAGGATTATCAGGGCCCTCAGGAGGCATCCAGTCCACATCCTGGCCTTGGCCTGAAGTACAAGCAAGGGGCTTGCCTCTGTCCATCACAGCATCTGGCTCCGCCAGGGGTGGGAAGGAGCCTGCGTGTGAGTTATCCAGGGTGCACAGGGCGTGGTGGTCTGGGCAACAGTCTGACACCTCGTGGCAGAATTCATCACAGTAGCAGCTTCCTCTCTTGCAGTGGTGATCTGTTCCAAAGCAGCAGAGGGGCTGGGGTTGGGAGCAGCTGCCTGCAGAAAAAGGGGACATTAAAAAGAGACAGGTATGGGGCACCTCATGGCTCAGTCAGTTAAGCCTCCAACTTCAGCTCAGGTCATGATCTGGCCATTCCCCAATTCGAGCCCCATGTCAGGCTCTGTGCTAACAGCTCAGAGCCTGTAGCTTGTTTCAGGTTCTGCGTCTCCCTCTCTCTCTCTCGCTCTGCCCCTCCTCCACTCACACTCTGTCTCTCTCTCTCTCAAAAATAAATAAATAGTTAAAATTTTTTAAAATGAAAAGAGACAGTTGTAACAAATGGCACTGGGACAACTGGATATCGTGTGCAAAGGAATGGATTTGGACCTCTACCTCATACCATACATAAAAATTAACTTAAAATGGATCACAGACCTAAATTTAAGAGTCAAAACTACAAAATCAAAACTACAAAACTCTTAGGTGAAACCATAGATGTAAATGATCATGGCCTTGGACGAAGCAATAGTTTCCCAGATATGACACCAAAAGCACAAGCAACAACAACAACAAAAAAATACACTGGACTTGATTGAAATTTTAAAGTTTTGTGCTTCCGAGGATAGTATCAAGAAAGTGAAAAGACAACCCATGGAATGGGAGAAAATATCTGCAAATCATACATGTGATGAGAGAATTTTATCCAGAATATGTAAAGAACTCCTACAGCTCAACAACAACAACAACAACAAAAAGACAAATAACCCAATTTTTAAATGGGTGAAAGATATATCCAAAGAAGATATACCAGTAGGCAACAAGCACACAAAAGGATGCTCAACAACATTTGTTATCAAGGAGAAGCAAATCAGAACCACAAAGAAGACACCATTTCACACCCATTAGGAAACAAGTGTTGGTGAGAATGTGGAGAAATTGGAACACCATCCACTGCTGGTGGAATTGAAAAATGGTGCAGCCACTGTGAAAAACAGAGAAAAACAGTTTGGCAGTTCCTCAGAATGTTTAATTTAGAGTGAAAACCATACAATGCAGCAATCCCACTGCTGGGTATATACTTAAGAGAAGTGAAAATACATGCTCACATAAAAACCTGTGCATGTATGTCCATGGGAGCATTTTTCATAAGAACCCCAAAGTGGAACCATTTCAAATGTCCATCAACTGACGAATGGATAAAACAAAATATGGTATACCAGTCAGCCCAAAAAAAGGAATGAAGTTCTGACACATGCTACGATGTGGATGAACCCTGAAACATGATGCTAAGTGGAAGCAGTCAGCCACAAAAGGCCACACATTGTATGATTCCTTTTAAGTGAAATGTCTACAATATGGAAGTCCATAGAGACAGAAAGTAGATTAATGGTTGTAGGGGGGCCGGGAAGTATGGGGAGCAGCTAGTGACTGCTAATGGGTACAGGGTCTCCTTTGGGAATGAAGAAATGTTCTGAAATTAGACAGTGGTTCGCACGACTCTGTGAACATACTAAAACCCACTGAACTGTACACTTTTAAAAGGATGACTTTTATGTTCCATGATTTATATCTCAGGAAAGCTGTTATTAAAAACAGAGGCACACGAATGAGTCGGAGCTGAGAGAAAGAGATGAATGAGAGAGAAGAGGAGGGTGGCAGGGGTGTGACAGCAAGGAAGACAGAGAAGCAAGAGAGAAAACAACAGAAGTGTGACAAGAAGGACCAACAAAACTCCCACAAAGTTAGAGGAAGGTCTCCATGGTCCCAACATCAACCTTAATTCTGATCATTTTCCCAAGTTGCTCAATTCAATTATATCTGACCAGTGTATATCCACTACCAAGTGAGGGGGTTCATCTTTTTTAAGGGAAGGGGAAAACAAGGCATTGGCAGGTAGGAACGTGGCCGAGGTCATCTGGTGAGTCAGTGGCTCAGGTGGGAATGAGCCCCAGGTGTTCTCATACCCAGGACTCTCAGTGCTGTTCCTGACCTATGGAATCAGCTCCTGTTAGGTTAGCACCTGCCTGGGGCTTTGTTTAGGGATAAACTTGAGGGCCTTCCAAAGTTGATGTGATCAACAGGGAGCAGGCCCCTGAGAGGACGTGGGGTTAGGTGTGGCTCGCCCAGCCTGTTATGGAAAGAGGGGCTGGCAGGTGTCTGATGAAAGGGGGGCGGTGGCCTGGGAGGTCAGACCTCTCAAGGTGATGGCGGGCCAGGCTGGGTGGTGGCCTTTGAGTTTGGCCTGGCTTCGGTCTCATGCTGAGCTGGGAGCCTCCTGCAAATGAGTAGTTCCTCTTCTCACATCCTCCCTCTTCCCAAGTGTCAGGTTGTCACCAATGCCAAGGATGGATCAAAGAGGGCTGGAGGTGGAAAAGAGCCCCAGAGACCATCCAAACAAGTGTTGTAGCCCATTTGTGAGTCAGAGATCAATTCCGTGATCATGACCAGCATTTATTTTATTTAACTTTACTTATTTATTTTGAGAGAGACAGAGAGAGAAAGAGAGAGAGCACACAAGCAGGGGAGGGGCAGAGAGAGAGGGAGACAGAGGATCCAAAGTAGGCTCTGTGCTGACAGTAGAGAGTCCGACGTGGGGCTCGAACTCACCAACAGTGAGATCATGACCTGAGGCGAAGTCAGATGCTTAACCGACTGAACCACCCAGGCACCCCATGAACATCATTTATTTTAATAAGATGGAATGGAATGAAATGGAATGGAACAGAACAGAACAGCATAGCATAGCATACATTGTATATGTAAGTGTAAGATGTTTAGGGTTCTTTCTGAAATTTTCGTTTTTATATACCTGTATGTATGTACTGAATAATAGTGCAAAATATATTTATTAATGTAGATTGTGGCCAGAAAAGTGTGAAAGTCTCTGATCTAGAAATGGAAAAGTCATTTTCTGAAGGTCGTACTTGAGCTGGGAGTAGAACCAGCAATCCTGACTTCTTCCCTGCCGTTTCCACCACACCAGGCTTCTCATTCAAAAAGCCTCTTGTTGGGGCGCCTGGGTGGCGCAGTCGGTTAAGCGTCCGACTTCAGCCAGGTCACGATCTCGCGGTCCGTGAGTTCGAGCCCCGCGTCGGGCTCTGGGCTGATGGCTCAGAGCCTGGAGCCTGTTTCCAATTCTGTGTCTCCCTCTCTCTCTGCCCCTCCACCGTTCATGCTCTGTCTCTCTCTGTCCCAAAAATAAATAAACGTTGAAAAAACCAAAAAGCCTCTTGTTGCACTTGCTACTAATCTCTGCCATTCTCTAAACACCCTGAATACTCCTGCTTTGGAGCCTTTGCTCAAGCTGTTTCCTTTATGTGAAAGGCCCTTCCCTCTCATAGCCACTAAAAGAAAACATTCTTATTCTTCAAGGTCATGTTTAAATTCAATCTTCCCTGGGTTGCTAAGGAACAAGCCCGTTATTCTGAAAATGATAAATGAAGAATTAAATATTTATCCAGCCTTTCCATACAAACCACGTAAATGACAAGGGAAAAGTCTTTATAGAAGAACTGCAGCTAATAAGTGCAGAAGAAGCGACACAATCGGAAAGCCAGCGTTTGGCAACCCCTAATGAAAAAAATGGATCTACGCAACAATCGTCAGTGGAGGTTAAAACCATTAGAGAAAGGTTGAGGGGGGATGTTTATAATGGACCTACCACAGGGGCACCTGGGTGGCTCAGTTGGTTAAGTGTCCAGCTTCAGCTCAGGTCACGATCTCGCGGTCCGTGAGTTCGAGCCCCGCGTCAGGCTCTGGGCTGATGGCTCAGAGCCTGGAGCCTGTTTCCGATTCTGTGTCTCCCTCTCTCTCTGCCCCTCCCCCGTTCATGCTCTGTCTCTCTCTGTCCCAAAAATAAATAAACGTTAAAAAAAAAATTATAATGGACCTACCGCAGATTGCATTTGTTTGATCAAGTTTATTTAATACAGTAAAGTGGGACCACTGGACTTTGTGTGTCTCCTTCGAGACGCAATAGCAAGTACACAGCCCCACCTATGGTATATTCTTGCCAAAGTAAATGAACCTTAATTACCAGGTTTCAAGAAATGCAGAGGACAGAGAGACAGCCACATAGATTCAATCAGATAAATCCAGAATGTAGGACTTTTTACAGGACAAAATGACCTGGTTCCGTCAATTAAAAACAGCATGAGAAAAAGGAAAAGAGGACTGATAGATTTGAAGAGGCTTAAGAATTATACCAGTAAAATAAATAAATAAATAAATAAATAAATAAAAAGAAATATACCAGTAAATGTAATGTGTGGGCCTTGTTTGGGTCCTGGTTAAATAAGCCAGTTGCAAAAAAGTCTTTTTGAAAGTTGGAGAAATATGAATAGGTATTAAATGGTAGTAAGTAGGGGCGCCTGGGTGGCTCAGTCGGTTAAGCATCTGACTTCAGCTCAGGTCATGATCTTGAGGTCTGTGGGTTTGAGCCCTGCGTTGGGCTCTGAGCTGACAGTTCAGAGCCTGGAGCCTGCTCCGGATTCTGTGTCTTCCTCTCTCTCTGCCCCTCCCCCTGCTCACACTCTGTTTCTCTCTCTCTCTCAAAAATAAACATTAAAAAAATTTTTTAATGGTAGTAATTATTTTAATTATTTCATCTTTCATAAGGTATTGTGGTTATATTTTTTAATATGGTGGATGAGAATTTGGGCAAAATGTTGATAATTTTTAAATTAGCCAATAAGAACAGTAGGTTCATTATATTATTCTCTCTCTTTTTGTGCGTGTTTGAAAATTTCCATAAGGGGGCAACTGGGTGGCTCAGTCGGTTAAGGGGCTGACTTCAGCCCAGGGCCCGATCTCCAGGTTCATGAGTTTGAGCCCTGTGTTGGGCTCTGCACTGACCGCTCAGAGCCTGGAGCTTGCTTCAGATTCTGTGTCTCCCTCTCTCTCTGCCCCTCCCCTGCTTGCACTCTGTCTCTCTCTCAAAAATAAACATTTAAAAAAATTAGAAAACTTCCACAAGAAAAAGAATTTTTTAATAAATTTGATCTATTCTGAAAGGCCTTCCAACACATCTCCTATCCCCAGCCCCTGCCCCGCCCCCGAGCCCACCTGGGATAGAAGGGATTCACTACATTTATTGGGATTAGCTCTTTCCTTTTACTCTTAAAACCTATTGATTTTAGCTTCTAACATAGCATGAATCCCTGTCTGTTATTACAGCCTTCTTTCTGGAGGTATATCTGTCTTCCCTACCAGCTCACCCAAGGTAAGAAATGCATCACTGTAGTTCTGGTGTCAAATAATTTTTATTCAATTTAATTCAAAATATCTGAATTGAGGGTTGCCTGGGTGGCTTAGTCAGTTAAGCGTCCTACTTCAGCTTAGGTCATGATGTCACAGTTCGTGAGTTCGAGCCCCACGTTGGGCCCTGGGCTGACAGCTCAGAGCCTGGAGCCTGCTTCAGATTCTGTGTCTCCCTCTCTCTCTCTGCCCCTGCCCTACTCGCTCGCTCTCTCTCTCTCTCTCTCTCAAAAATAAATACTTTAAAAAAATTTAAAAATATATATCTGAGTTGAATTTGGGCTCACACTGGAGTTCCCATAGTGTCCAAGGTCAGGAGACAGTTATAGCTTCCAACAGTCCTGACTGGTTCTATCACAAAAATGACAGCATAAGAGACCAAGCACCCATTCACTCATTCATTCATTCATTCATTCATTTTATTCTATTTTTTAAGTTTATTTATTTTGAGAGAGAGACAGACAGACAGAACGAGCTGGGGAGGGGCAGAGAGAGAGGAGAGAGAAAATCCCAAGCATATGCTCCCCACAGTCAGTGTAGAGCCCAGTGTGGAGCTCGAACTCATGAACCATGAGTTCATGACCTGAGCCGAAACCAAAAGCCAGATGCCTAATAGACTAAGCCACCCAAGTGCCCCTCATTTTATTCTATTGAGTGGCTCTCTGAGCCAGGTACCATGGTGGATCAGGGACATATATTCTAGTGCCCTGCGCCACCAGACCCTACAAAAAAAAACACCTTCCAGGAGCTCAGTCTAGTGAACAGTGTCATCAAACTACAAGTAACCAGAACATCACCATGCTGTATGATCAGTGCAGGCAAGAGGCGACAGCCATGGGATGTGATAGAGAAGCAGTGAACCGCTAGGAAATGGCTTCCTGGTGAACAGGCAATAGCTCAAGTGACCATCCTGTTGGCCTCAGACTGAGAGGCTAGTAAAAGTGACAAGCTCTGGGGCCCAGAAAGGAGTGGGTGAAGAACCTAATAATAGAACCTGCTGATAGTTTGCACCCCTCTAGAGCAATACTCCTGAAACATATTTGACAATTTTATAGAGAAGAGGGCGAGCGTGCTGAGGAAGGGTGTGGAAAGGGGACCCTGAGCAGCCTCCTCCTCCCTCTGCAGTTCCCACTGATCCTGCTCCAGACCCAAACCTGCAAATTCCCCTCAGCAAAACTGAAGTCCTGCCCTTCCCCAGAAGTCCTCTACACAAAACAATTTAATAGCATAAATGTTGTTACTTAAGCACGCAGGGTTAGGGTTAGGGTTAGGGTTAGGGGTTAGGGTTAGGGGTTAGGGGTAGGGGTAGGGGTAGGGGTTAGGGGTAGGGGTAGGGTTAGGGGTTAGGGGTAGGGGTAGGGGTAGGAGAATGGGAGGCTCCCATTCCCACAAAAAGTATTCCTAACAATGACATTTAGTTTTCTCCAAAAGGCATTCTAGTAAACACAGCTTTATCATCCCACTGCGTTTCCAGGGGTATTTTAGCAAACCGCATCAGTTGGTCCCTGGCAGTTGCCCCTTGAGCCTGCCTATTAATCTGGATCTAGGGTTTGTTACACCACCTTCCCTTCTGTCTCCCCCACAGTGCACATTCCAGAGCCCCATGCTGCCTCTACTCACAGGAATCTCCTTTGGACACTCCTCGGGGATCCCAACAAAGCAGACCCTCCCAGCTAATCCACATCTCACAAATATGAAGATGATCTGTTCACAGAGAAGCCCCATTAAGCACAAGTAGGTGCTGAGTAAATGAACTCTTTAATTAAGTAATAAATTAGCATTAACCCTTGGGAGGTAAATTATGCCAGGAACAAAAATGATTGAATGAATGAATGAATGAATGAAAGAGACTAGAGGCCAGGTTCCTTTCAGCTGCCAGCTGGGCTCCTCACCTGTCTCCTGGTTTGGGGTCGCACAGCTCAGCCACAGCAGGAGGAGGAGAACCAGATACATGGTTGCAGGCATTGAGCAGAGACAAGAGTGTTTCAAGGACCAAGGCCGGGGCTTTTAATACTCACCCATCCCAGTAAGCTCATTTGGTATCTGTGCCCCTAGGCAGGTGCAAGCTCACATCTGGGCAGCCACGGGCAAAAGGCGGGGAAGGCGGGGGGTGGCACCAAGACCGTGGCACAGGTGTCCCAGCTGCTTGGAATAGCTTGTACAAACAGAGGTGATGCAAGCAAAAAGAAAAAAATTATTTTTCCCATCTGCTGGGGATTCCAGACCAGCGGAAGAAGCAGAATCAGACAAGCCAGAATGATATTGTTGTCAGGGACTTTGGCAATCTTCTAATCTGAATCACTCCTCCCCGCATTCCCTCCCCCATTTTATAGATAAGAATACTGAGGCCCAGAGAAGGCAAGAAGCCCCACAAGTTCACACAGCTTAGTTATCGTAGAGCTGAAGTGAGAACCTTGATCTCCTGGCTACTAGTCCAGTGTTCTTTCAACCAAAATATAGTGAAGGTATTCAGAGACACCCCCGGGGAATTCCCTTCAGCCAGGAAAATCAGCTGGGCAGCTCTGCTTCCCAGGGCTGGTATAAGTCATCTACACCACAGAGCTGCTGGAAGGCTGACAGACCAGGAGAAGGCTGAGGGAGAGAGATTCGCGGGGACTATCTACTACCAGAAAATGTGAAAAGTAAGGTGACTCTATTGGCCACTCCAGAAATGCCCAACTGCAGTCTGGGGCCAATTCTACACTTGGCCCAACCGGGTTTCTGTTGCATCCTTGCATGCAAGTGGCACAGGATCTGCTTTAAGAGCCCGTAAGTGCCTGAGACAGACTCAGGAACTATGCCTGACTGCACCCTGTCACCTTCCACTACGGAGACAAGAAAGATTAAATCTTACTTGCCAAACCTCCCTGCACTTGGTGATCAGTGATAGAGTTCTGGCCAGTAAACCACAGTTGGAAATGTGCTGGAGAACTTCCGGAGTTTAGCTTTCTTTTAAAAGGGACAGGCAGGGGACACCTGGGGTGGCTCATGAGTTAAGTGTCTGACTGGCTCAGGTCATGATCTCATGGTTTTATGAGTTTGAGCCCCACGTCAGGCTCTGCACTGACAGTGTGGAGCCTGCTTTGAATTCTCAGTCTTCCTCGCTTCTACCCCTCCCCCACTGTCGTGCATTCTCTCTCACACACACAAAAATAAATAAATAAACATTTAAAAACAAACAAACAAATAAAAAAAATTTTTTTCCTACGTTTATTTATTTTTGGGACAGAGAGAGACAGAGCATGAACGGGCGAGGGGCAGAGAGAGAGGGAGACACAGAATCGGAAACAGGCTCCAGCCTCTGAGCCATCAGCCCAGAGCTCGACGCGGGGCTCGAACTCCCGGACCGCGAGATCGTGACCTGGCTGAAGTCGGACGCTTAACCGACTGCGCCACCCAGGCGCCCCACAAACAAACAAATAAATAAAAGGGACAGGCAGAAGAAGAGAGCTTTCTGGCACTCCCCTTTTCCCTACTTCCTGTCCTCGACAGCATGTGATGCCAAGAGCCCTGACAGCCACTCCATAATCATGAGACAACAATTGTACAAGGACGAAAAGTCAACACGTTGGGGATGGAAAAAGCCTGGGCCCCCAAAATATCACCAACAATGGAACCGGTGTCAGCAGTTGGCTACCTTGGGACTTCTTGGTATTTGAGGACAATAAACCTCCATTTGTTTGTCACTCTTAGGGTCTCTGTAACATGCAACTGAAAGCGTACCCCGTAGTGATAATATTTGGAAGCTCTCAGACCAAGGCTGAACAACTAGCCCTCAGGGAGGCCCTGGTGGAGACTGTACTTGGTGGGAGGTCGGATACAATGAGCTGCAGAAGTTCCTTCCAGTTCTGAGATTCTAGACGCTATGAAAGAGGGAATACCATTTCCTTTTCTTTTTTTTTTTTTAATTTTTTTTTTTTTTTCAATGAGCTGCAGAAGTTCCTTCCAGTTCTGAGATTCTAGACTCTATGAAAGAGGGAATACCATTTCCTTTTCTTTTTTTTTTTTAATTTTTTTTTTTTCAATGGGGACAGAGAGAGACAGAGCATGAACGGGGGAGGGGCAGAGAGAGAGGGAGACACAGAATCGGAAACAGGCTTCAGGCTCTGAGCCATCAGCCCAGAGCCCGACGCGGGGCTCGAACTCACGGACCGTGAGATCGTGACCTGGCTGAAGTCGGACGCTTAACCGACTGCGCCACCCAGGCGCCCCAGTACCATTTCCTTTTCTAACAGCCTCTGAATAGTTGCTGTGGGAATAGTTGCTGTGGGGGGACACGGAAAGACTCAAGTGTTCTCAGGGCTATAAATGCTTTCTGTCACTTTGTCATATCCTTAAAACTCATTAACTGATTTGACAGTATTATTTATTTATTTATTTATTTATTTATTTTAATTTTTTTTTCAACGTTTATTTTTATTTTTGGGACAGAGAGAGACAGAGCATGAACGGGGGAGGGGCAGAGAGAGAGGGAGACACAGAATCGGAAACAGGCTCCAGGCTCTGAGCCATCAGCCAGAGCCCCACGTGGGGCTCGAACTCCCGGACCGCGAGATCGTGACCTGGCTGAAGTCGGACGCTTAACCGACTGCGCCACCCAGGCGCCCCTTGACAGTATTATTTAAACACCTATTCTAAGCCAACACCGCGGATTTAACAATGACCCAGACAGACACAGGTATGCCTTCAAGAAGCTTCAGTCTAGTGGTAAGAGACATACCAATGGGCAGTTACAATACAAAATTACAATGAGAGGGAGAAGCAAAGGAGGGGGACCCAGCAGGGGCCTGGGAAGAGGGGGTGGAAGTGTGCTGCAAAGACTTTCTAGGATACAGCTTATGCCAAAATTAGAAGAGGAGTTGGGATTTATCCAGATGGAGCACTGAGTGGGAAGGGAGATTGTTCTAAGAGAGGGAATGATGTGTTTAGAGATTTCATGCTATATAGTTAATTCTCATAATTCAACTTCATTTATTATGTAGAATTGCATTATTATGAGAGGAATATAAAATAGTGTGGCCACTGTGCAAAACAGCATTGTGGTTCTTGAAAAAATAAAAGTAGAACTGCCCTATGGTGCAATTTCACTTTGAAATATCTAGCAAAATAATTGAAAGCAGGGACCCGAACAGGCATTTGTACAATAATGCTCATAACAGTATCATTCACGATAGCCAAATATCCATCAATAGTGAGTGCATAGGCGTACAACAGAGTATTATTCAGTCTTCAAACAGGAGGGAAATTCTGACACATGGCTACAACATGGATGAGCTTTGAAAACATTATGCTACATGAAATAACCACATACACAAAACCAAATACTGTACAACTCCACTTACGTGAGGTACCTGGAATGGTCAAATTCATAGAGAAAGAAGGTAGACCAGTGGTTACAAGGGACTGGGGGACGAGGTAACAGAGAGCTACTATTTAATGGGTACAGGGTTTCAGGACAGTGTGATGACAAAGTTCTGGAGAAGGATGGTGGTCATGGCTGTGGAACAGCATGAGTATACTTAGCACAGGGAATATATGCAATAATATTGTAATGACTTTGTGTGGTAACAGATAGTAACTACACTCAGTGTGGTATTTTGTAATTGTACATAGATGTGGAATCACTATGTTGTACACCTGAAGCCAATATGATATTGTATGCCAACTACACTTCAATTAAAAGATGATAAAAAATAAAATAAATGTCTGTGATAAATAAATAAAAATAAAATAAAATAAAATAAAAATAAAATAAAATAAAATAAGTCTGTGAATGTACTTAACCAATGTGAATGTACTTAATACACTGAAATATACATTTCAAATAGTTAAAATAGTAAATCTTATGTCTAGTTTATCACAATAAAACATTGCATTATGAGTTTTCAACTTTTAGCCATTCTCTTGCTGGTAGACATTTGGATTGGTTCCAGTTTTCCATAATCATAACCAATGTTGCTGTAAACATTCTTAAACATTTCTCCTCCTACACCACCTAGGAATGAAATTGTTCAGTCATAGGTTGTACACATCTTCAACATGTGAGTGCAATCAAAGGTCCATAGTGATTTATCTTCCAACAGGCAGGATTTCTTGTTCCACATTCTTATCAACACTTGATGTTCTCACTTCCTCTCCCCCCCAATCTGATGGGTGTGACATCACAATTAATTCTAGCTTTAATTTGCATTTCCATGATTACTGCTAATTTGGGGATTACTGATCATCTAGAGTTCTCTTCTTTAAATTGACTATTTGTAACCTTTGCTCATTTTTAACACTTTGTTTTTGAGTTTATATGAAGTTATCTTTTTCTTACTGAGAGTAAGAAAATCCTTTATAAATTCCAGTTACTACTCCTTTGTAGGTTACATGTGCTGTAAATATATTTCTCCCTGTGTCTGGCTTGCCTTTTTGTTTTGTTTCTTTGATGTGCGGAAGCTCTATATTTTAAGGCAAATTTTCTGTCATGGTTTGTGCTTTTTTGTGAATTATTTTAAGAAATCTTTATCTAATTTTTTAAACTGTATTTTCTTCTAAAAGTATTCAGATCCATTACCTAAAGCTGCTATAACAAATTACTACAAATTTGGATGGCTTAAAACAATAAAAATGTATTCTCTCACAGTTCAGGAAGCTAGAAGTCTGAAATCAGGTCCTGATAGGGGAGTGCTCTCCGAAGGTCCTAAAAGCAGATCCTTCTCTGCCTCTCCCCGGTTGGCGACAGTCCCTGGCCTTCCATGGTTTATAGGTTCATCACTCCAACTTCTGTGTCTGTCGTCACATGGGACTCTCCTTTTGGGTCTGTCTCTTCTCTTCTTATAAGGACATCAGTGATATTGGATTTAGGGCCCACTCTACTCCAGGGCGACCTCAGTTTGACTGCATCTGCAAAGATCCTCTTTTCAAAAAGGCCACATTCATAGGGACCAGAGGATAGAGTTTGAACTCAA